TAACTTTTCTTTACGTCCAAGTTATTAGCGTCAGTGACATTACAATGCGAACCTAATACGTTTGGGCGAGCGCAAGCTTTTTAAAAATACTATATTTCCTTCTATTCTCTGTTTCTTTCCTTCAGTTTTCCACTAGAAGTTATTCATAGCGAAATACTACGATAGCGCGTTGAAGTCTGTGAACAGCGTTTCAAGATCGGTGATGTTCCTCGAATTGTTTGTTTGTTTGTTCGTTCGTTCGTTTTATTCTAATTTAAGAATACATTTTGATCGACTTCACGATGAAGAATACGTGACATGTATACTTCTATTCTTAGTCTTTTTATATTTGACTTTTTTTTCTTACAACGATTGTTGAACGTTGACGGTCGACGAGTAGTCATCATTTGTTACGAAACTTCGCTAGAGATATTTTTTTTAAATTTTCGAATTAATTTTTTTGGACATCATTTTTTCAAAGAAGCGTCGTGTTACACATATCAGAGTCTGATGAACATCGAAAACGAAGATTGGTTTTCTACTCGATTTTAATCGAACAATGTCACAAAAGTGCTTTGGGCGCGTGAAAATTCACAATACGAGTTAATAGTTCCACATATAATCTAGAAAACGGTGTGTCCTTCGTTTCTTGCCAGAAAGAGAAAAAAGGCCAGAAAGAATTCAAAGTGGAAAATGTATAGGATAATTGAATGTCGCGTGTTTTAAGTACACACACTACATCCATATAGCACGCACACACGCCCACACACATAGGAACACATATATACATATAAACATGTACACACACGAACACCACACACAAATTGAATCAAAGGGCGAAAAGCTTTCTCAAACTAACGGAAAGATATTTGTTGTGATAATAAATATTGAATATATAGCTGTTTTAGGGTATGAATCATTACTATAAAAGATTAGAATTTAAATAAATGCGCCGGGTTAGTGTGGAGAAGTGAATTTTCAAAAGCCTCGACTTTTTCTACTCGAGAAAAGGTTCGCGCTCACGCTCATGCACGCTGAACGAACCTAAATCCCATTTTCTACCTGCGTCTCTGTATGTGTGTTGATTGTGATGAAGGACGATAATTTTTCTTGTGGAAGATACACTCTCGTATCGTGTGTACGTATTTAAATATGCTTGTTAAACGAAGAAAAAACAAAAAAAAAAAAAGAAAAAAAGATAACAATTCAACATGTACAGGGTGTCACATAAATGATAGTACAAGAGCGCAGTTACAATTCCTCTGCTAAAAATAAGATGATTTTGAGAAATTGATCCCACTTTGCTTCTAAGATCGTCCCGGTTTCAAAGTGAATCGTAAAAGGTAAAAAAAGAACAGGCGGAGAAGAAGAGAAACGTTATCTCAGCACCTTAGTTAACATCGATTTTCTGAAAAAAGAAAAATGACAAAAAAAAAATTAAAAATAATAGGGATAAGTGATAAAAAGAAAAAATATGATAGTCGGTCGAGTGTGGGGGAGAAAGTAATAAATAGGCATATGAAAAGAGTAAAGGTAAATAATAATTGCCTGTTTTATATCGGACGAAACAGTTCTGTACACTATAGCGCTACCTATATTAAGCACCCTTATGTAATGCGGTGGTCCTTAAGGAGCTTTTTTAAAGCCTTAAAGCATAGATTAGTCTGGTCATCGAAACGGTTGAAGTGAAAATATATTTTGTTTCTTTGTTGCCCTCCTTATCGTCTTAAGTGTATTTTTCAAATTCTTTATACTACGCGTGTTCTTATACAGGGTGTTTGGGAAGGTACAACAAGGGGCCGTTGTACTATTGTACTAACTAACGAATTCCATTTTTAGTTAAAAAAAAACATACGGATGATGTTTGCGGACAAATTGTTTCCAAGTAAAATCGATCTTGAACTGAATTGAATAACACAGCAATCAAAGTTGAAAAGAAAAAAAAAAAAGAACGTTCACACGTATCCGCAGTTCAGCGATTCACCGATGATACGACGATTTATTTGGAAAAAATGACAGAATTTTTAGCTCGAATGAAATTTGCGTAATTTGAATCCGGGAATCTTACATATCGCACTTTCAGCTTTATTGCACACCCTATATACGTCTACACGTATATACGAATAATGTGCACATATGTGTACGCGTGCGATCGTATGTGAATATGTATACGTACACGTATTATATACCTATATATGTATGCGTACATATATGTATACGTTCGTCCAGGTGTGTACATGTGTAAATACGTGCACAGCCACGTGGGTATGCATGTATGCATACGTACTTATGTGTTCATACGCGTACGTGACACGTACACCACATGTATACATATAATATTACTTAGAATAAACTTTCTTACATACAGGGTGTTTTAAAGATTGTAGTACAAGAGAAAACTGCGGCCTTCCTAGATATAATGGAATATTATTCTTAATCGTGATTTTATTTACCGCTCAAGGACTATGACGTTTCGCGCGGCTAATTACAATTCGAGATTTGTGAACATACCGTGGCTGCTAAAACCTGAGAAACATTTTTGAGTTGAAAATAACATGATTCCCTCTTTTCAGTTTCCCGCTCTCTTTTCATGTTTTCTTCACACATATTTTGCTCCTCGACAAATAAATCTTTAGGCATTGCTAGTGACCGCATATACCGTACTATGATAAGTAGTAACAATTGTATGTATATATATATATATAAGGAATGCTTTATTAAGGACTATCGAATAATCGAATAACCATTATAGAGGTATAACAGTGTGAAAGTACTTGTACCAAATATTAACGAAATGTAACGCAAAATATTTTATTATTACAGATATTATGATGAAAAATAACTCCCTTCGTTGCTACTCACAGTACACCGAACCGAATATGTCTTTTTAGCTTTTTATTTCGCTTCTTTTAAATTTTATTCCGAGTAATTATACATTAGGCATTATCTTATGTTGTTATTTTTATTATTATTATTATTATTATTATTATTATTATTATTATTATTATTATTGTGACGTTATCATTTATTATTTATTCTATCGTTTCGCGTATTTGACGATTTTTGAGGGAAAGTTAACTTATTGCCGAATGAAATTTAAAACTGACGCCATATACTGTGAGGATGATCGGCTTGAATTTAGATGATAATGACGGTGGAATGTGCGACCAATTACGCCTAAAATCGAACCTCGTTTTTTAAGGTTTATCGACAGCTTTTTTTTTATAGTATTGTTCAGTACCTACTATCCTATACATACGTTCACCGAGCGTCGGGGACAGTTGCGAAAAATCGTCTTATTTTCTACTCAAAAGATTTCTTAAAATTGTCTCTTGCACCATTATTTTTTGATCACCCTGCATTATCGAACATTATATTTTTTCCTTTAAAAGTACAGACTCTTTTTAACCGAATGAAAAAGATGTGTAACCCAATTGTGTACGCTTTTTTCAGGATTTTTAGATAATCACTGCGATGGTATTAATTGATTAATTGTAGAAATCGTACCGATAAGCGAATTAATTAATCATTTAATTAATTAATTAATTAATTGATGGATTAGTTAATTCATTCTGGAGGTATTAAAAAAAATATCAACGCGCATATGAAAAGTCTGGAGATAAATTAACATGTTTCTTTCTTTTTCATTTATTATTTATTTTTAATCTGAAACTGTAGAATTTAATTGTATTAATTAATATATATGTTATATATATAAAAAATATATATATATATATATATGAAATGCATATGTATATTAATTAATTGTATGAATTTAATATATGTTTATATTAAGATGTTTACTTTTTTCTTCTTTATTTCGAAAAAAAAAAAAAATCTCTTGGTTGCTTTCGTAATTACTTAATTATGTAATCGTTGAGTGAGAATTCGAATAACGAGTGATTAAAACGATCATGGGTGTTCTCTCGTCTTTTTCTGATAGCTATAATGATAAATAGAAATAAAGTTATTTAAAATCAAATTGAACATTCTCCTTTTTTTTTTTCAATTTCCCTAATACAAATTCAACCGGCTTTCAATAATTTATCATTTTCTTTGCAGCATTCTTCGTTTTCGCAATTCTTTTTCAGTTGCAGAACCGGACCATTTTTCAGTCTCAAAGTGTAATCATTTTTTTTTTTTACTAGGTAACCGCGAATTATTTTAAACAATTCGTCTAAACAGCATTATACGGAACTCTCGCTATCATTTCCTTGTCTATTAAGAAAACGTAAGTAAATGGCCCAGGTTTCCTTATTTCTATCGCATTACTTTGCGTGTTGAATTTATTCTCTGATCTATTCTTTTTGTCAGTACGCTATTGAAACGGCGTGCAAGTTTATTTCTGTTCGAACAAAATTATGTTACTTTGTACGTTCTGTGTCCTTTCTTCTCCTTTTAGTTTCGTTAAACCGATCCAATTTACAACGGAACGATTACAATTCAGTGAGCGAGGAAAAAGTAAAAATTGTCCAACGATTGAGCTTCTTTTATCGTATCAATTTGCTAACGTGTTTGCTTAAAATGAAGAGTTTTATAGCATTTATTGAAATCTCAGAATTCATGGTATTTTTTATTATAAATGGAACAGGAAATATTCGTTAAAATATCGATGACAGTTTTTCGTTGAAATTTTACTGTAAAACATATAGAACAATTTTTTGTACATAATTGTACTACAATTGGTGCGAATGTAATTGTAATTTTTGAAGCGGCTCGAAAGAATTTTCTGTTGATGATATATTTTTTGTGATAATTTATTTATACTTGTGTAAAGTTAATATCGATATTTATAGCAAACCATACAAAATTCTAACATATCCGTTTTTTCTCCATAATTTATATGTAGAATTAACGTGCATTAATGTATTACGTACATATTGTTATAAAGCAATAATACGGTTAATTATCAATTACCGCTGCTACTAAATGTTAACGATGAAGAATTAATTTAATTTTTGGTATTTTCCTAGTAGTATTTTTTTCCTTTTAGAAATTTTGAACGACGATTTCAAAATCACTTTTTTTTATAAAATGTCTATTTTCTTATGCGTAATGGATATATTAACGAACAAGTAGTTTTTGTTAGTCGAAAGACGTATACGGTGATTGCAAAAGATATTCTACACCGCTGTATTTATTACGTTGCATTTATACACCAATTAATTATATCCATCTATAACAAATTTCCATACCATTTAATAATAATTTCATATGATTATAAAAATATGGAACTGAAACGTAGAATCTAATAAACAGGATGCTTCGTTTCGCATTCAATCAAATAATTTTCGGCTAAAGATAAGTACGTATGAATCTTGTAGCCACTGTATGTATGTACATAAATTACGATGAGCGGGTGAACAGGTGGTGCTATCGTGTAGAGAACATTATTTCAACGATGTACTTTGAACTTAGTGTTCTGACAATTTGTTAAAATTTGTTCATAAAAAGGTACCCCCCCCCCTACGAGCGTGCATATACGCAATTCCAAGATCATGCCATTTTTCGTAACGAACCGAATAGGAAAGTAGCAAGAATTTCGCCTTTTGCAAATTAGCAAGAACATAACGTGATCAGCGTAACATTTCGAAACGCTAACATGTGATGTCGAAACAAGACAGTATGTAACTGTGAACCGTCCCGTAAAATTTTTATTTGGCTATCGAGATTTCTACTACATATTTCCGATATACGCATCTTTCGTTAAAGCCTCTTAATATTCTTCTTTGAAAATGGTAAATAATTTCATTACTGAAACAGATGATACATAATTTTATTAACATCTATTACTCATCAAATGTAATGTTAATCATGTCTTATTTTTCTATTTCGTGCTACACTCTAAACGTTTACCTGTGTTTTATCGACAAACTTATAATGAGCAACGTGACACAAGTTTGGTAATATCGCTTGCGATATTTGTATGACAATCAATTTTATAAGGATACCTTATATAACCTTGTTTTCAGCATGCTGTCTATATTGTTTCTTGTCCTGTGATGACAGAGAAATAGCACAATGAAAATAATCTGAAACTTAATCGAATAAAAGTTTTATTAAATCAAACAAATATTTATTATGAATGTGAATGACTTTCTGTACATTTATTGGTTACGTTACGAATGCGCATTTTTATCGACATACATATCTGCATTGATGACTATAAATGCAGAGAAAACATTAGTTGTCTTTTTTCATTAGAAAAAGTCGAGATGAACGCGTGTAAGACTAAACCGGTGTATAATAATGTGCAACTATTTGGTGATAATCTAACGACTCCGTATTTATAAAAGCGAGTCTCGTATCTATTTGTTTGGAAAGATCGGGGAAAATGAAATAAGAGAAGACTTATCGTCGCCATGATGTTCAAAATCGAATTGAACGCTTACGATAATTACCTTATTTCCGAGATTTCCGAAGTATTACATGTATTTAAGAGTGTTCCATATCATCGTCTCTCCGAATATTCTCTTTCATTCTTCTTTCATTTTGTTCCTTGAAAATATTCATCGTTTCCTTGATAGTTTAGAGAAGAAAGGAAATATCAAGAATAATTTATAACATGATATTATTTGCTCAAAAAAAGCGCAATAGGAAATGGGAAAAAACAGGCCACGTGAAGTATAGCAGACAAAAATAACTATACTTGTGCCCTCTACGCATATATTTCTCTTTTCGTCGAACTATATTCCCGTTAAAAGTATTTCAACAAAGTATTTTAATCGGTGTACTTAATCGCAAAGATGAAATACACAAGTACGAATGGAAAGTGTAGTAATACTGTACATTCATATAATGGTGCAACATAAAAGAAATGAATATCCCTAGATTTAGCGATAAACGATATATCAATCGATACTAGCGACTATTAAAAGCTGCTTCGTTACTAGTGTGTAAATTTTTCAAAGTTTATCATCACATATGTACATGTATAATAATCTTTACATTTCATTTCTCTCATTTATTTGCTATCCAGTGAATTTCGCGAATCAACTTCGTTTCTGTCTAATCATTGGAATATTGAAAATTTTTTTTATAGTATTATTTTCTAGGGTTTAAAAATTTATTCTATTAATGCAAATCAGTTTATGTTCCAATTACCGGTATAAAAACGGCCTAGGAACGACAAAAACGGGTACAATTATGAACTATTTTCATTATTTACATCCTTTTTATTAAAACAAAAATGTTTCCAAAGTAGGACGTAACGTCATTGTCACCGTTTGATGGAAAATCCCTGAGAAGTGTTTCTTAAAAGCTTTTCGATAATGGATAAAAAAGAAATAAGCAAGGTACATATAATCAAGAAACTTGATATGAGATTTAATAGTTATTCCTCCTTTTCTTCGATTAATTTTAAATTTTCTTTTCTTTTTTTAGTTAGACATAAACAGTGATATTAATAAGAGATTCTAGTCTTGCTCGCTCTTGAAAACAAAGTAAAAGGAGACTTTCATTCGGTGGGACACCAAAAAGATGTTCTTGAGAAAAAAAATATTACGTTCGTAAATCGAAATTTACCGCGCTTGGAAGTTATGAAACATAGGTTATAGTATAACGAACCGTAGATTGTAATCGTGGGATGTCGAAAATGGTAAATCAAGAGTATTTACTTACGTTGAAAAAAAAAAATGAAAAATTGACAAAAAATATGTATAAAATCGCGGTAAATTTAAAATAAGACGAATAAGATTTAAACAGGCAGATTAGTTTTAAGAGATCACGAGAGATTTCTATTTAGAGAAATACTCTTAAGAGAAACTGTCAAATCGAAGAGACGAGAGATGTGATTTATCGATTAGAGACAATTCTAAAATGGAATCGAGAGAGAGAGAGATGAAATGGTACGAAGCTTTGTTGTAGCCTTGCTACGTTTCAAGCAACTCCACGAATGACGAATTAGAAATCGAAGCCTAAAAAGACGCGTTTTCACCGATACAACGCGATCAATTATGTGCGTATATTATTTAGGTTACCTCTAGATTACAGACAATCATTTCATCGACAGCTTAAGCGAGTTAACCTTGCGTACATACTCACGCGTTCAAATCATCGACATTTAATTCATATTTATGAATATAGGTTTGTCATCATCATCATTGTCCTATTTCGATTTTTCTTAATTTATATTAATTTTGTCTAATTCATTTTTCTAGTGTAGCATTATTTTCAAATATACCACATATATTTCAAAATGTCCTCAGAATAATTCAGTCCTATGTTAAGAGAACATCAAAATCATTAAAGAAGGATCTGAAGGTCTAAGAATGGAAAGTTACAAAAATAACATTTAGCCATTGTTTGACTAATGAGTGTAAGCACATAAATTTGAAAGAAATATTTCAAATTAAGTAAATAATAAGTACACTGATGAAGTGGTCTCAAGTTGCTTCAATTCAAGTAGCTTTATTATAGTATATACCTCTAATAATAATTCTTTAGTATATATAATAATAATTATCTAAGAATTCAATATATATATTGTACTAACAATATAAAGTCACGATATAAAGTTAGTAACTTAGTATAACTTAAACGAGGCATGACAGTATAAGTGTGATATAATAATATTTTATCATTTTCATCACTTCTTACATAAAGAAATGAATGTATTGGTGGAAAATATCATCGATGATTTAAACGCGTGACTAGACAGAGTGCCGAAAAAATTCGATATCGATGAAAGCATCGTCGAAATTATCGAAAATGTTGTGAAATGATCGTCGGTGACTTGAAGGTAACTTAAAATATTATTCGATGCAGAAATACTCGAGAATAATCGGTTAACGATTTAAAAAAGAAAGGAGAAAACGAGATGAAATGCCGCTTGTGAAACGGTATTTGAAAGTGTGTGCGCGTCTGTGACCACTGTACCTACACCGTTAGGCCTTACTTTAGAAAAATCATAAAGAATCGATACTATTTAAATATTTTTTCCAAGTGGGTAGCATTCATTGTAACTTGGCGTCATTTGAGCAACAATCAGAACGTAAAATAACAAGGAAGATTTTGCTTTGCCAACATCGAGGGAAAAATATCAAAGAAACGTATATTTGCTCTGTGTGTTTCAATACAAAGTAAGGTATTAAAAGAATGGCAAGGGACACGATTCAACTTAATCCATCATAAATTTCAATTCTTCCCAAACTGTTGAACCGTCCTTACGATCTTCATCACAACGCATTGTCCCGCGATTTGTTTCCTTCTGTGATTTTACACTCTTTATTGTGACTATATATCAAGTGCCAATATAGCAGGGAACAATAATAATCAAAAGAAGAAAACGGCAAACGTTTTTTCTACTTGTCGTGACTTTTATTTACGATCGACGTAAATCGTGTGATATCTTGGAATTTCGAAAAGACATCAAACTAGCGTAAATAGTTCATTTTAGGAGGTTAGGTATCTCGAAATGCACAAGCAATAATAATGACAGGAAACATGTAATTTTCTAAAATTCAAGATCAGTTTTACTTGAAAGAAATACATTTATTGTTTCATCGATTAATAATATAATAGTATTAGTTACATAATTAATTAATTGAACATGAAAAATCAATAATTTCTTAATAATAACTTTCTATATTTATCTGATATTCTGTAAATGTCTTAACATTTATGAACAGCTGATTTTAATATAGTAACACTCAATTTTAATATAGTAATATTATACGTTTGCTATGATAATAGTACAATTACCATGATACTTATTTCCAACGAATAAATTCTCGTCTTCTTGGAAGAGTGTGAAATTCGTTTCAACGAAAACTGTATCTCAATTGAACTATCGATTTCTAAATACAATCACACGCGAGATCAAACTAGAACATAATAGAAAAATCATCGGAAGTGCCGTAATATCGACTGAATGCATTATTTTTTTAACTAAAAAGACGCTCTTTCTATGAAGCATACAGTTGACGTATCGAAGGTGTCGATGAAAAATTTGACTTTTTTAATTTTTTTACCCGTGTGTCATTATCAAACTACGTAACAATTAAAAGGCTATAAGTAGATAGCGGATTTTTACGTAAATTCACAATTTTGGGAATATAACCAAAAAAATTAGAATCTCGGTAGAAGATTATTTTACCTATCAAGTATCATAGAAAGTATTATACTTTGGATATTTTACATATTTTTTCATATCACCTTTATTCTGTGCAATTTTGCACATACAAATTTCCTATAAACACAACAAAATCCGCAGTCTAGCTATGAAAAAAACATTTCTTACAATAAGAACTTATCATTGAATTTACAATTATATTTTTCCATAGTCGTGGAGGTAATAATTCATCTCCAAAATTTGAGACTGACTGAGAGCAGATTAATAATAAACTGCGAATATAAATATTTTTTTAGACTTTCCTGCTTGACAGCATTTCTCTGATGAAGAGGTGAAAACCACAGTTCGATTAGTAGAATCGTGTCCCTTGTTAAATTTCATAGCTCTCGACAAGGGGGGCAATCTTTTTCCCTGATAACTATTACAGTTACAGTTTCATCCTGTGTATTCTACGAGTTGTTTTTTCCAATTCGAAGATCCTTGGTGTTTGTTTCGTGATTTTACCGAATATATATTCGTTTTCGAAAGCTAACGAATCAAAGAAGACTTTCAGTATCATTGGAGATAACGTTAAATATCTATACGTAACTAACGACTAACGATTGTACAGGGTACTTGATACTTGTTTGAAATTTCATTTCATTCGCTTGTTCGGAACTCTAAAGTCTAAGAATTCCAATCATCGCTTTAATATCGATTATACTGATCGTGATTAGAGGTAAATAGAATAAAAATAATCATTCGTTTAACTGCCCGACTTTTATATTTCAACGAATCCCAATGAGTTTGAAAAGGAAAAAGAAGGTTTGATACTTCAAAAGACTATTACGACGACAGGTTACCTTTATTTCCTTATTCGCTCTTTTCTTTCAAATATTATTCTGAAGTCAGAAATTATTTGAAAATATTAAAGACACGAAGAATGATCTCTTTATCTTGATTATCACTGAAGAATATTAATCTATGTTCTATAATTTTTTCTAACATATTTTAAACGCTTAGTCGAATATTAATTAAGATAAGTATTTTTTTTTTTTTTCTAAAATTCTCTCTTTCGTATTGTTCGTGTATTAATAGATGGTTGAGGATTCGTGAATGATCACAGGAATACAATTAAACATAATTCCCGCTTAAATTATTTAATTATCACAATTTGATTGGATCTTACTCGCTAATTGCGTCAAGTTTTCCTTAATTCATACGATTCTCTTTGAAAATTATTATATTCCTGTAACATATGGTGTTTCCGTGTACAGCGATGAACGAAAATATTGACAGCAGAGGTCAGATTTTATGCTGTAGAATTCCATATAAATTTGTAAAACGTAAATTTTACTAGTATAAACTTTAAATACATATGTATATGGTAATTCAATATCATTAAAATACAGTTTACTTGTGAAAGATAACCAAATGTCCAAATACGATTTTGACATTTTAACGGCAATGTACATTTCATTGAGAAAAGGAAAGTTTCATTGAAGTAACAAGTAATAAATAAATATTATTTTATCCACGATTTACGAGTATTATAGGATTCAATTCCTCTGGCTTTTCTTGGTTGATCGAACCATTTCTGATTATTCCATATTATATTTATAACACTGATCCTCCACTCATCAAATCAATATACAGTGGAACTCCGTTTATTCTCACTTGGAGGACAAGCAGCAGTTTATATGTATAATTGGAGTTGACGTAACACCAAGAGCTCACCAACTACTTGTTATTTTGTGTTCACATAACAGGAGCTCGCGTTCGACTAAGTAAATTCAAGCAGCTAAAGTCCAGTTAACGAGTCGCATTAATTAAAATCTCTTTGAGATAAATGAAGTTCTACCGTATAATGATCGATCTAAACGTTCAAGCAATGGAACTGTAATTAATCATCGCGAAGGGTAAGCTGCGAGTGTGATTCCAAGATAAAAACGTCTCGATAGAAGAAATATTGTATTTCATGTTTCCTCCTTCCCTTCTTCCTCTCTCGCGACACGAGAAAGCTACGCGTTTATATCGTATAAACATACATACAGGGTGTTCCACCAGTGAAGCTATACTCGCAGGTTCTGGAACGGCCTGTATAAACAGGAGTTCATTTGACGAATTGGATTATTTCCTTCCAATCGGCTCGATTCGTTTATCCACGGGCATTTTCGCGATCTATAACGATGTTTGTGATACTAGATAATTTGTAATCTTATTATAATCAAACTAACCATCAGTTGTAAGCTTTTCTCCCTTCGCTTTCTTGCAAACTAGTCGAACGACAAATCGTGTACGAGGTTAGTTAACGTTTCACCGCGTGTATCTCGATTACGATGTATAATCGCCGTATCGATGTATAATGACCGTCAATATACATACACAGTATCGCGTGTGTAAATCGCGGAAATACGAACGATCAATGTGATTCGATCGCACGGTAGCGATTAAAATTCAGGTACCGTAATCGCGTTACGTTCTTTGTTTGAAGTGGTTGCAAGTAGCTTGCACGAACCTATTGCGAGGTTTCATATGTACGTAAGACGGAGAACGGGGAGAAGGTGTTCTTAAAAGTATTAAAAATCGGGGAAAGATAAAGTTAAAACGAGGGATAAGTGAATGGACAGTTTTGACGAAGGAACGAAGGAAAACGAAATAGAAGAACGACGGGAAACCAAAAACAGAAAATAGAGGAACAAAAAAAAAATCTTAGCTTATAAACATAGAGGACTGCAGAGAGTATTTTTTCTAGGAATGTTAGTGGACCAGCCAAACAAAAAAGAAAAATAAATAAAAAAAAAATAACAATCGAGGAGGACGATTGCGAGGGAGTAACACATACGGAGATATTTATTGAAGCGGGTAAGGGCGAAAGCATAAATGTGTTTCATAAGGTATGATGTATCTGAGAGAACAAAAAAAAAGTGTTTAATATCTATCCAAAGGATATAAAAAAATGCGAACGTAATTTCTATAAACTAACTCTAAAGTGACACGAGCATTCTCTGGTTTAAAGTTTATAAATCATTAAGAGACAAATATCAGATATTTTTTAATGGCGGTACAATTAATTGCTAGAAAAAAGATAATGAAAAAAAAGTAAAATAAAACGAAAACGAAAGAACTGCGTAACTTATTGGAAAACGCGTGTAATTCTCCCGGGCCATTCGAACATGGAGCAAAACTTTTGCAAATTAAAAACTGATTCGATAAAAAGAAGAGCAAGCAAATAAAGTAAACTAATAATAGTAGAGGTTAGGTAAGGGCATCGATAAGCTCGTATTTCTTGTTTCGATTAAACCGTATTTCCTATCTTTCATTTGCCGCATATGCCATACCTTGTAGGACACTCTGTACTCGTTACTATGCCGGTGTAGTGTCCTGGAAGGATGTCATACGTAGCAAACAATTTTCTTCTAACCTCTTTGATCACTTCTTCTATTGTGCAAATCTATTTCGTCCATTTTTGTATCTTCTTGCCGCTTCTTTATCTCTACCACTTCTCCTTTTTTCCGCTATAGCGTTTAGGTTTACTCTTCACAACGTTATCGCATTTCCTCCTTTTATCGCCTTTATCGTATTAAACGTTGCAATTAGACTACGGATTTTCACGTGTCCGTATGGCAAGTTGGTTAGTTGACAGTTCATAAAATTCAGAAAATCTTTTAACATGTGTCTGAGAAACGCATATTTCAAACGTCCCAACAACCCAACATCGAACAGACACGCTTATTTATTAGTCACTTAACTTGCTTGTCTCTGCCGGATACGTTATCGTTACAATACAAATTACACTACGGTGTAACAATATCACAATAGAAACAATTCTTCGCCTACAGTTCCATTCATCAAGATTCCTTTCGTTCTACTTATAGAAATACAAATTTCTATAAATATTCGCAGTCCGATTGCAACAAACTTTTCCTATGACGCATGCGGTCGTTTCTAAAAATGCAATAGAATAAATGGTCATGGATTAGGAGAACATTGTGAGTTATATGATAGTCTTCCAAAGTACCACACTTGCATAGCGCTGGACTCGCGCGCACACACGTCTGCCTGTAACGTGTGTGTGTCTGTGTGTGTGTGCGTGCGAGCGAATGAACGAAGAATAAAATAACAAAAAAATTAAAAAGCAAAAAAAGAAATCAACGGCTAGAACTAGCGAACTGCACGAAAGGAATTTCTCACCGACATCTCGGGCGAGGGTGGGGACAGGGGCGGGAACGGGGGTTTGCGTGATATCGACCGATATTCGAAAGAGATCGATGAGAAAGGAGCGATCATACAACGCGAAAACGATTGTCTAGTATTTAAAGAAAAAGGAGAAGACGAGGAAGAAGATGTAAGAAAAAAAGAAGATTCTCGATATCTGTAGTTCGTAATGTGTCTTAAGTTTTCCTTCCGAAGCTAGTAAGAAAGCCGAAAGAAAGAGAGACGTAAAACTCTTTTAAGAATGTAAAAAAAAAAGCAAGAAAATTCCTTTACGGATGTCGCGTATAGTAGAAGAAAAAAAGAAACGAAGTGAAAGAAAGAAAGAGCGTTAGGGGAAATATGTGGGGGAAAAAGCGATGCGATAATTAAAGAAGAAAAAAAAACAATAATATTATAAGCAACAAAAAGTGCTTTTATGAAATACAATATTATTTATACCATCCTGATGATATATAAATATATATCTATATATATATCTATATACACTATATGTATTCGAATTAGATTTATAAGATTATAAGAGATAAGATATGAATTCATGTACCGCGTAATAATACAAGGGTATAATAAATATCATATATGTATACATATAAACACATACATACGTGTACATGTAATGCACTAAGTGTAGGGGTATTACGAATAAACGAATAAATATGTATATGTATATGTATATATATATAGTTTATACATACGTATGTATTTATTTGTTTATTTGTATGAAAACTATCATATATAGATACGTACACACAAGTGCGCGCGCGTACACGCATGCACGCAACGGCACGCACGCACCCACGCCGCAAAAAACACCATTAAGAAGAAAATCTCAGATTACAACCAATATAATAATACTAATATTGTAATAATGCGTAGTATTATGTTATAATTAGTACTGTATTAAATAATAAAGGTTGTCCTACATGTGAACATACCAATTATTTATTCGTAACCCTGTCCGGAGATATCTATAATTACCTACGATATAATTTGAAATTTAATTAAGCTTTAATTTGAATTCTTACACATCGAAAAGAAACGCCTGAAAGACAAAGAATTAACACTTTCCTTCGAGGATACCATGACGATGAAACGTTATGAATAAAATTACTCAGTTACACAAATTATACAGAAAATTATGAATTGTATATAAAGTTGTACGATTATTGTAAACTTGCACATTCGATTGAATAAAACGACCTTATTTTGCAAATGGACAAAGTGTTTAATCATTAGTTATTTTAAAACCTTCTCATTATCCATATCCTTAAATACTTTCCAACTCTCATTAGTTTAAGTTATCAAAAATGGCGGAAGAGTTTGAAAAAATTGGTAAATATTGGTAAGTATTAAAAGAATAAAATAGTATAAGCGTCACGTCCCGCGTCCCGCACGTCCGTAGCGCGAAAGTAAAATTGATAATTTCTTTCAAATCAAGGTAATTTAAAACGTTTATTTGAAATCGTGTTTACAGTATTTGAAGAGAAAGGCAGTTAAACCTGCTAAAAGCTATATCTTGCGAAAACTTATCTAACTATGTTTTTATATTTACCTAACTATATTTTTATAACGATAGTAAGACAATTTAAATTGTAAACAAAGTCGGCAGTTTGAACAAACGTTGGGGATTTTCCCAAACATTTTCAAAAGGAAGACCCCGACGTTTTTTCATCTCTGACAGATATAAATAAATGTAGTGACTCAGAGAAATCGATAATTAATTACCGCTCGTCAACCGAATAATTACCATTCGAGGAGTTAGTTATCATTTTGTCAACCGAAGAATCATCATTTTGTTATACGAAGAATTACTATTTTGTCAACCGAAGAATTTTATATCCGTCAGTCTGTCAATCAATTGTCAATATTGAATTCGAGTAAGATTTGAATAAATCATTACATATTGTTAATTTACTTTCGAACAACCTTAATCCTCTCTCGTGCCAGTATTCCTGCACATAGCAAGTTAGCCGAAAGTTGGAACTTATTGCCAGTTGCATTAAACGTCAGTTAACGCTACCTTCTCGTCGGTAACTAAATAGAACGTAACAATAAGACGTAACTGAATCCCTTTGAAATTCTCAGAAAGGTTGAGGATTCCTGATGTTGCGCCAAAAGCAATCCTGTAACAGACAGAAGATAATATTAGTTTAACCTATCTTATAATGTAATAAATTAAATCTAAGAATATTATAACCTTTTCTGAATAATATTAATAAAAAAATTAATTTATTTGACTCCACAGAAATTGCTGAAATTAATTAACAGGTATCACGTTAGTGGTTTTATTTACTGAACAGAATTTGCAAATGTTTATTTATCTCTTTCGATGTTTAAATGGAATATAGGAGCAAAGTTCAGGATCTAATTAGGATGATATACGATTGCAAAAGAAACAGTGAAAAAATGGAACTAATTTATATATCTTTCTTCGTCGCACACTATACCCTAATCTTGCACGATCACACATTTCTCCTCTTACCTAACCTATGCGCGTTTCTCCCACCAAGAGCGCTGGAGACGAAGTGTGCTGATAATGCAGCCGTTCACCACGAGAGGTCCTTATTCTCAGTGTACATTTTTTGACAGGATTTCGCTTGACGATATCCCTACTAATCTCTCCTTCAGAATCACAGAAATAAAACTAATTTCAATTAATTCCTCGCTGTATTCCTTTTTTAATTTTACCACCTATCCATTGATCATTATTAGGATTATTAAGGTCGTTGAATTTGTGTCTTCACAATATATAAACATATTGGAAAATACAGGGTACAATTTAAAAAAAATATTGATGACCTTGAAATCCTGTAACGAAATGATCATGATCGTTGTATAGTGCGGAAATAATCGTTAATTATGAACATGTCACCAAGAGGAAAGATAATTTTAGAATTGTGTATGAAAATTAATAGTTTCCCGTCGCGCCTTTATTCAAATTGTTCCTAGATTAGTCGATCGGATGATACATGGAATCATTTATTTTGTTTAAAATACGTTTTGCATTATTGCATAAAACGAAGAGGTTAGTGTTAGTGACACCGAGTGTGGCAATGTTTTGACTAATAGCAGTGCAGTTACGCGTAGATCAGCCTTGCCAAAAATGATCAAGAAAAATGAGATTTTGTTTGTGTTTGCATCACTTTTAATAATTTTTTGCGAGCAAACGTCTTCAGAATGTAAACAATTAACGAGTTGCTCGTGCATGTTTCCAAACTGGCAAGGGTACAGTTTGATGCCGCTGGTTAATTCAAGGTCGGTGGATCGAATATCCTAACCTCTTCATATTTTGCTCGTTAACTTTTATCCGAAAAGAAATTTTTTCTTTTAGGTCTATAAATAGTACCGAACAGAATTGCGCTTTTTTCTTCCATCCTTGTACAAATAAGCGACTGTCGAACGATCAAATGAGCGAATGTTACAAAGGAGATGGGGCTTCTGTAAGGAAATGTTTAATGAATATGCTATGGAATTTTCTCGTTTGCTCTAATTCTATTATCGATGTCATTCAACGTACAACGATTCACGATAGTATTTGAATATTTTTAGAAAGCTTTTATGAACATATTGTACAAAACATTGTGAAAATTCATTGGTACTGTAATATGTAATGACACACTACTACTATCATGATTCCAGTTGTGCGCCACATGCAACAACAATACTTTTGTGCTGGGTAAAGCAGAGGAAACGAAGATAATTATAGAGAGTGACGAATCGAAACCACCTGTTTTTATGTTTCATCATGAGAACTATACAACAACAATAGCCCTGTCATGTTGTAGTTCATGTGAAACACACTTGTACGTGGAATCTCTCAATAAAACTCCTAATGAATATGTAAGTTTCAAATTTTTTAAAAGGAATAGACAGGTGTTTCTCCTAATTCTCTTAAACTCTTGCGTTTTTGTTTCAGCATCTACTCTTAACGTCTACTTATGCTTGTAAAACATTGATGCACTCTAAGGGCCTTTCCATTGGTTCTACATTACTTATTTATTTCTTTGTGATTTCTGGAATATACTTTATTGGTGGAGCACTAACTTTGAAGTTCTTGAGAGGTGCAACAGGTTGGGAAATGATGCCCAATCATAGCTTCTGGCAAAGTCTTCCTTCACTCGTTAAAGTAAGTTAATTAAGACACAATTTAGGTTTTTCTCCATTTGTTTACCCTTGCAAACAATTTAATATTATATTTACAGGATGGAATCACCTTCACTTTTAACTGTTGTCGTCTAGATAGCTACGAAAGAATATAAATTTACATTTTCTACGATTATATTTTAGTATGTTTCAAATGCAATGAAAATTCATAGATTATTGGAGAAAGTATTTAGTTGGCTTAGTTAGCAAACGGACACGTAAATAATTTTTTAGTTTACTGGTGTAGAATTGTCAATGACTGTATTTTCTAAGGTATATACATTTCTCATGCCTTCTTGGCCCATGTGTATGTGGATGTATTGTATTTATCCCATGAGAAAT